GGTTGGCTCAAACTCAACGTGCACCTCAGTCACATCATCGAAAAGTCGGCACCAAAAGTATATGACCCTGCTGCCCAGAGCCAAAACTTTGGTAAGGCGATCACACACATCCAAACCTGCTTCAAACAAACCACGTGCAGAGATCCACCAGACCATCCCAGGGTGCCTGACCAAGATGGGGCCGTCCTGCGCACCCAAGCCAAACTCCTTTTTCACAAATCGCAACGATGTACCGAATTGCCGCAGAGCCAATTCCCCAAGAAATTTCCAACCGCATACCATCAGTGCTACCACCTCCCAGAGGGGCGTTTCCTTGAACACTTTCAAAATACCGAACTGCACAAAGATTGGCCTCAGAATTTGCAACACCTGGACCGGGGACACAGAGTTCCCAAGCGCGGTCAGGTCTTCATCAAGATCAACACTGAAAAGGAAGTCCGGACCAAAACCAAAAAGGCGCGCAGCTTCACACGGATGAAGATACCGGAGCTTATGCCCAAAACGTACCAGCCACGTATACAAGCCCTTGGATTCCAACATGACCCGAGGAAGCAGAAACTGATGCATATAGGAAGCCATCAACACCGGCAAGGGGAAGGTCACATAAGTGCGGGCTTCCAAAACGCGCTCCGGCGCACGGTGACATACCTTCTTCAAGGCAGGTGGCAAAAGTTCCCAAATGGCCAAAATCCTTCGCTGCTCCTCAGTGAGCTCTGGCACAAAGTGATCCGTGAGTTGCCACAAAGCATTCGGCAAGTCCAAGGACCGAGCTTCATTAATGGGGAAGTTGCACTTTTGCCGGAAGAAACAGTAAAAGATCCTCGGCCTCTTCATTGGGACCACCTGAGAAAGCTCCAAAAGCTTCACCTGCAAGTTGCGCAAGCCAAGAAGGTGGGCAAAGCGCAAGATCAGAGGCCAATGTGGGTGGCCAATAAGTCCACGAACATTTTCACCGCAAGAAATCTGCGCATCCACAACCGAGGCAATACCCATCCCGTGCAGCATGAGCTCACCGGCTTCATCCTGAATGCCATTCTGATTTCCTCCACCTGAAGAGGAGGTACACGGCGGAGACTGTACCAACAAACGGAAAGGCCAAGCCAAAGTGAGCTTAAGCCATCTCCTGTCTCTGACATCACACAGAACGACCAAGTCACGCATAAGGTCATCCGGCCGCACAGAGTCAACAGGGATGACTGGACAGTTGCGCATCCTTGCCAACAAAAGGGCCCGCGCCGGGTCATTTTCGATCGAAACACATCCACAGTTGTCATCAAGAAAGGGAAAAGCAGCACTCCAACCTCCAATACCCGCGAAGAGTTCCAGACACCTCAGATCTTCGTCAATCCACACACGTACCAGGAAGGAGTGTCCTTCTTCGCCAACATAGAAGACTGGTATCCCTTCATACACACCGCAAAGATGCGCGTGTAACACTGCAAACCGAAGACCGACCTGTGGTGTGAACCAATCCGTCCAAGTCGGATCGAGGACCAAAAAGACTGACTGGGCCTCAGGTGTCTTGGCTTTCCAAAAAGAAGTGCCCACCACGGACACAAGCAGGGTAACCGAAAAGGACTGCACCTTCATCATACCTTGAAGCGGCGATACCTTCCATTGGTCATAAACGGATGAGGCAAGCATCAAAGACTCAGGCAGAGCCTCCGAAGGCGCCCGCACATCCAGAACCTTGGGGATTTCACAACCTTCACAGTCGCAAAATCCTTTCAAGCACACAACGCACTGATCAGGCCAGGAACCCTGATCTGCGATGACCACTGGGCCTTGTCGTGTTTCCGTCAATCTTTCGCCATCGATGGCTAGCGAACTACCCAACCTGATCAAAAAGAAGACAAAACCGGGATGTGCCGCGTAAACCAAAGTCTCTTCTTCAATAGGTGGACATGCATGAAGAAGCGTCACACACTCTTCCAACGTCAAAGGCACATACACCTGTTCCTGGACACTAAACGGCACCGTAAGCGAAATTGGGTCAAACTGCCTATCGCCTCCGGTTGCAGTTCCCTGATGAGCCAAGCAGACAAGCCAAGGGTCTTCGCCATCATGAAACTGTGAGATCGGGTCAGACGGACCAAAGGACGAATCATGGACACTGTCTGACAGGACTTCCGAAAAGTCATCAACAGGGCTGGGGACCTCCGGGGTGGGCGTGAAGGACCGAGCAACAGAAAGGGGCTTCCAAATACCGCCCTCAAGTTCTTCAAAGTCGTCGTTCACCAGAGAGGACTCGAAACCGACCGACCTGTCAACCGACCTACCCTCGAGAACCTCGCCACCAGAGGCAGCTGAAGCTCTGTGCAGAACCACATCGATTCTATCTTGATGGAGGAGTCCCGATCGTTCTTCACGTACAGCATCATGATGCCTCTCAAGGTCACCGTGGAAAGGAACCTTCAATTGTGGCCCAAGAGGATTACCAGTGTTGGGAATCATAAAAAATCCACCGACCACTTGATTAAACTGACTACCATTGTGTCCTGTAGCCAGGTACACACCATTAGTATCGACGTTCATGTCCCCAACCGAATCCACATCACCTACCTCATCGGCCTCAGATTGATGAAAATGTGAAATGAGAAAATCATCACTTGACCTGACCGCAGATCTCTTACCAAAAGAACCGACATGAGCTAACTCGCAGAGCCCTTTCGACTTGGACTCACCGACCTCAGACCCGCCTGCAGTCGGGCTCAGCAAATCAACCTGCAGCGGAACCGTGGGTACAACAGGACCGACCGACCCCTGGGCAACCCGAGGGCACATGTGGGACAAGTCAACAGAATCCGCACCAGTATATGCGCGGCGGTCACTGCGCTCCCATCCAGGTGAGACATGTCCATGAGCCGGGTAATACCTACGGGAGCTGCCTCTCATGCGCTCAGTACCTGAATTTCCGGTGATAGAGCTCGGCTTTGAAGACCCACAGATTGGGCACGTCTCCTTCTTGGCGAAAACCATCCTGACGTGGTTCTGGCACTTTTCATTGGGGCACTGCCAATCTGGCGGAAAAAGCGTGACCGTCTTCTCTGCAGCGGCCTTCTGCTCGGCCGTCCTCCTGGCAATGTCAGCTCGTTGCCGTGGCAAAGGAGATGCCGACGGTGACATGGGTCTAGCTGTCACATCAACTGGACCCGCCTTGGACTTGGCCGACAGGCAGATGTGGTCATACCGAGGGGCTGATTGTCGAATCTCACCTTCACGAACACCAGAGCTCGCCGATCCACTTGCGATAACTGGGCCAGGTAGATCACCTTCAGCGACCGAGCCCTGTGCTCTTTCCGCATCATCCACCTTCTCGACCTTCTGCTTTTTGTCGGCTGGCGCCTCAGTAGCCTCAGCAAGGGTCTTGCGCTTCTTCTTCTTCTTCCTAGAGGATCCGTCATGGGCCTGAAATTCATAAGCAGATACTTCAGTTTCATGCTTCTGGTTGGCGTAGTCCACGTCGACGATTTCATCTTGCGCCAAAGAGCAAAGGAATTGCCATGGCATGTCACTGTTGACCACATTGGGCCACGTGACCAAGGACTTTTTAGTCCTGAGTGCGGCCACCTGCCCACCTATGACCGGCACCTCAGTACGGACCACACAATTGGCCACCATGCTGGCTGAGGGGAGGAAAACTTCCGGAGACGCAGGCATAGAAAAGACGTTTCCATTCCGTTCCCATGCCGCACAACCTGAAGGCAGGAACCGAAGCACCGACCCTTGCACCGCTTCCTTGACCTTGGCCACGTGCGCGACAGGACAAACAAAAGTGGGAGTCTCCTGCACCTCACCATACATGACAGCCAGGGGGACCCAAGTAGCATCGGTTGCAAACTTCTGTATTTCACCGCGAGGCGGAAGAAGGTCCACACACCACAATGGCACACCTACATCATTCAAAGGAGTATCTTGCTGTTCCCACCGACCGACCTTGTACCGAGATCGAAAAGCACCATGACCCACCACAAGGTCAAAGATCTGATCACCAGCAAGATCAGGAAGCCCATCGTAAGCAACTTCACTCCTGGGAAGCGGAGGCAACTCCAAACCATCTAACCAAATTTCAGAAATGGCCTGCTCAGCGTTGACAACCTCCATGAGATTCCCCACAGGATCCTGAGTTGGGTCCGACCTCCAAAGAACATCAAGGATAGACCTATCCCTCCTGCTGTCAGCAGGGCCACCAGTCAGGACCGAATAGCGAAGCAGATCCCGATCGACCTGTTCAGCTCCCTGGATACGTTGCAAGAACAGCTGGACCAAAGGATCCACAGCCAACTCCCTGACACGAGACCCGTTGATGGAGGCATTAACATGCGCCGCCAGAAAGGCGAAACCAGAGCCATTGTTCAGACCAGATAGCAACCTGAGCAGGCGCGCATACCCGCTCAAGACACCATGACCCGGCGGCATACGCAAAACCGCCTCAGGCCAATCCATACCGACCGAAAACAACCGACCTACCAACAGATGAGCAGGTGGCCACACTCACACCCCGACCGGCTACTCTCAAGCTCTTTGCCGACCCAGTCTTACCCCCTGGGAGGCGGCTTGAGCCAAGACTGAACAAAAACGAACTGGTTGCTTCAACAGAGGCTACCGCGGACAGTGAAATATCTGCATGGAAAAAGACGTTGAAAGTGAAGAATTTGAAAGCGGGGAGTCCAACTGGAGCAGAAGAGGCTGTGGAGGTTGACGATTAAGCGCATTTTCGACTGCAAACACCATTATATAATCCAAATAGATCCAAATACAGATACTGCAGGTTCAAGCAGTTTTGATAGGTTTGGCGCCATGCACAATAGTGTATCGGTGTGATAGATCTCCCCATCTGAGATGCGCTTGGAAAAGCAAATGAGCTGAGCTAGTGTGTGGCGCGCTGTATGGCCAGCAGGAGTTGTAGGTTCCTGTACTGCCTGATTTTTTGATGATTTATGAGCCAAGATGATTCCATGACTGCATGAGCTTATCCAATCCAATGTCATGACTTGCAGGTATGTTCGATCCTCCACTTGCGGGGCTCATCCTGTTGTTCTTTGCAATTTCAGGTTGGTGCAAAGCAGGAGACAGACGCTAATAAAACCCACATTTCACTTGTCCAAGCTCCAAAAGCTGTGTGCGAACTGAAGAACGTATGGGATTGGGGGCAGTTCGTGTAAACTGTGCCATAGCAAATGTTTCAGAAGTTGCATTTTTGTTCAAGGACATTTGCTGCTTGGTGTTTGGAGTTTGAACGATGAGGAAGCAGCAATGCTGCTTACATGTTTGGCTTCCAATGGGAATGGGAGGTGCTTGGGAGAGGGTAGGCTCTTGCGAAATCATCACAAATTGTGTGCCTTCTTGCATTTAAACATGCAACATACTGCCGCGAAACAGTCAAGTGGGAAGTGGCAAACCTTTTTCATGAGCATTGCTTTGGTATCGTTTTTTCTTTGACAAGGAACCATTCATATGAGCTACAGCCAAAATTTACCGTAATGGAAAGTAGTATTCGAGACATCTTTATTTTTTGGAAATTGAGCTGGGGCTTGGAAAACGATGATACACTCTTCAAAAAACGATAACATTTGCTATATTCCCAAAACCAGAACGATAATACACTCTTCAATAATTGATGACTTGGAGCTATATACTAAATATTGACCGTGGCCTATATCAGTTGCAGGTTTGAAATTCAGACTCTGTTTTGCTTTGGCCAGATTTCTCGTTGCCTGCATGTGGGTGGGGCAATTGTTTGGCTAGGCATCTCCGATGTTTCAGTGAACATGTTCAAATAGTAATGCCGCAGTGGTAGGGCAAAATTACATCACGTGGGCAAAAAGCTGGCGTTTTTCATGGCTTGCATTGGCTTGCCAATCGGTGCAGGATTTCCTTGTGATCCTTGTGGTCGCAAATTGACATTGCATTCTTGTTGTTTGCAATGTGCCATGGCATTCTGCCCAAAACAAACAGCTTCAAATCTCAAAAAGGCGATGAACTGACTGATGAACTGACAGTCTTCACTCTCGTGACAATTTCACGACGAGCCGATGAACAAAGAAAAGCCATCGATAGTTGAATTTGCGGATAGATAGATTCAGATAGATATGAAGAGGCGACACTTTCAAGGGGTTGAAACCAATTCGCTGTTTGGATCTGTGATTGGATACAAAATAAACTACTGGAGACGTGAATTTTCAGCGGTCGGAAAAAATGAGAGCAAGGAGTGAACTCAGGATCCAGTCAAACACGCGGAATGTTTTTTTTCGTCTGCACATTGCATCTGGAATCCTGCTTGCCGTGCTCGCCATGGCGTTGAGTGTTCCGCGACAAGCGATGCCCCCGCGCGTCATCATGCCAATGCGGGCTGAACGGCCCACAGATGGACTGCGGCGTATTGCCCTTCAATATGATCACAAGGCCATGGAAGTGATGATGGTGTTTGTTTCGGGTTGCCATGTGTGCCATGCCCTCCTCAATGGTGTAAGAGTTGTATCGGGTACTTGTTGTCGTGGAAGGTTGGTCTTGGAAGTCATATTGTTTTGTTTGATTTCTTGGTCCTGATTTAGACATGCAAGAACCTGCAACTTTGCCGAAGTGAACTTGTTGGTACTAGTACGTTCAGATTCTTCATCGATCTATGCACTCAGCTTAATTACTCAGCTTCACACAAGGGATATCCAATGCGAGTCCTGGTGCGTGCATAGTCGCACAATGCCGGGGACCATGCGCGTCCTTGACAGGATCAAATTAGTGTTGCAATGCTACATCTAAAATCCATACGACATAGTTAGACAATGTTAATCCACCTTCGATAGTCGCTGAAAAGGTTGGATTATTTCAAAAATGTGGTCAGATACCTTGCACGAAGGGTCATTTTATCTGAAACATTCTGAAACATTGTTCTTCACATATGGCTGTGAGAGTCAAAATATAAAGCCCCGATCCATACCCTGAACCCACAGGCGGATCCATACCCCCGATCCATACCAAAACACAGGTGATCCAGGGCCGATCCATATAGGAGGTAGACCCTCAGATAATCCATAGGAGTTCAAAAAGGACACACAAAATGTTCAAGGAGTTGTAGGGAAAACACAAAAAAAGGAGGTGGACCTTCAGGTACCGGCAATTTGATCTGGAAATGCTGTGCTAAAATGAGGTCAGACAATGTCAGACACCCATGATTTTGTGAATGTATTTTTCTGGGGAAAATTGGAGTGTCAGGCACCTGGCATTTCTGGCATTTCATTCCTCGTTTTAATTTGTTTCTGATAGCCAGGGCACCGGGTATCATTTTGGGCGAGGATTTGAGCGAAGCCACCCTGAATTGGAGCAAAAGTCGACAGCTGGGCTCCGGTTCCTATGGCGCAGTCTTCAAGGGCGAGATGAAGGCGCAGCAAAAACTACAGCTGTAGCTGTCAACATAGCTGTCAACATCACTGTAGCAGATGCTTTCATTATGTCGAGAGAATTCGACTGTTTGTTGATTTTGGGATCAATTCGACTTGGTCTGGAATGGGCCCATAATGATGATGTTGCGATGGAATTTGCAAAGGATGCGATTGTGACATATGATGATCAATGATGACCTCTTGAAGATGGCATTTGTGGCTGCACTTGATGAATCATGTCCTGCCTGTCCTGTGGTGGAACAGCAAAGTGTTTGATTCGGCGCTTTTCAGAAAGTGACTTGTGTCAGGATGGGACTCAAGTTGCCATCAAGATGATCGACCTGGGCGCATTGAAAAGCTCTGGCCAGCCAACTGCTCAGTGTTCACTGATGAGTTTCCACTGACAAGCGCGCGATGATGTTTTGTCCCCAAGTATGGTTGCTCTAAATTATGCAAGTGCCCTTTGTTCCATTTTGTTCCCAGCATTGTTCCCATGTATTCTCTGAGGACAGAGGACATGGCTGGTTTCGATCAGGAGGTAGCAACATTGAGCAAGTGCGATGCTTTAATCGCCAAATTCACTTTCAAAGTGAAGTGTGAGTCTTGTTAATTCTATCTGCTGTCACATTGAATTGCCACATTTGCCATCGCCATTCGCTGCACATTTCCGAGGTTTCGTCATCCCAATCTGGTGACCTTGATCGGTTGGGGAAAACACTATGACTTGCCGTCACAACCTCAGGTAGAGAGACGCGCCGGGACGACCTCCCCAGCTATGACCCAAGGCATCGCTACTTGGTCTACGAGTTGATGACCGGAGGCGACATCTACGATCGCTTGATGAAGAGCCGGAAACGACAGAATCCGGTGGCCTTCCATTGGCCCGGCTCCCAGATGGAGTGGAGCCATCAACAAGTAGAACAACAAATTCTACGTACTTGATGATGAATGGTGATGATAGTAGAAAAACATCATTAGAACAACAAGTCGCCATCATCATCATAGTTTCTTCTTCTTCTAGTGATGACGACCCCTTCAGCTGAAAAATGCTGTTGGGAAATGTGGTGGACTTGTCCAATTTGGATTCCCGAGGTATGAGCGCTTGAGCGCCCTGTCGGACGCTGCATCTGGCCTATCCCACATGCACAACTCGAACCCGGAGGCGTTTCATCGGGTGACCGCCTCAGATTTGAAGGTGTCTCCATCGATTCGTCCACCATCGAAGCTGCACAATGCTTCGAAAAAGTCCACTGAGGATATCAAGAGCGCCAACATATTACTAGATCGGTTGGCAGCTGAGTGGACCTTTGGGTGACTATCAATATCCACTTAATCTATACAAAAAATATCCAGTTGATGTATCCGTATACTATCAATATCTATCAGTTAATCCAGTTAATCCAGTTGATGTATCCATATTCCATGTATTTCCATGTTTCATCCACTTTCAATATCCACTATATATCCAGTTGATCTTTCTGTATTCCATGTTTCCAGAGTGAGCTCGGTGGTGTTTTTTTTTTTAAAGCCCAAGGCATGGTACAGCAAAGATGGCCGACTTTGGTTTGAGCATCACCTCGAAAGCTGGAGATGCCAAGAGCTGCAAGGCTGGCCCCGCTTTTTGGAAGTAGAAAGGTAGTGCATGTTGGACCCTAGAACTCCATGAGTCTTGGTCAATACACACTAGATGACTATACAGACTATACATGATAGTATATGGATGTTTTGTTATATAATGCATTTGATTCAGCATGTTTGATGAATTATTGCATTCTAAATCATTCTAACTGACAGCTGGAAATATGTTATTGCTCGAATACTTGAGAATACTTTACAAATATAATATTCACTGAATTACATCGTTACATCTGACATTTCAAGTTTGTTTTTTTTCGATGCAAGCAGTCAAGCCGTTAAGCCGTTTTGAAACATACACTGACTGCCCCAAAACCCAAGATCCAGCAACCTTTATTGGAGGTATAGAGCTATGGCTCAAAGTTCAAAAACAAAGCCTGTGGCTCCAGGTAGACACCATCAGTGGAACACCTGGCTATGCCTGCCCGATCTACGCTCGCACAGGGCAGGTCACAGAATTTAGTGAGGCGCGGTGGAGCATGGCAGCCCCAAGGTATGGGAATTGATAGATTTGATAAATTTGATAGGATAGTTTATGATTAGCCATCCAGAGGCCATCCAGTTTTGGGGTTGCCACTTTGGACGAAGCCATATGCATTGGAAGTCAGCCAAGTCCTAGTCCTGTTTTCTGAAAGCAGCATATATCAGAATCGTAGGATGACATGTTTGGATTCTGACAGCGTCATTTGAATCTAGTAGGACTTGCTTGAAGTCATTGGAAGTCCTGTTGGATCCGCTTCCAGGTGTACTCCTTTGGAATGGTCATCCTGGAAGTTCTCACAGCCATTCCGCCAGCCATGGCGGACAACACAAAGCCAGGTGGTGGGTGGCTCAGACTGTGCTGTCTATAGGTCAATGGGAAAAGTAATGGCAAGCCATGGGATGTTGGGTGTACCGTACACGGTGTGCCCTATTTGAAGACAACTCGAAGTCTCTACAGTCACGGAGAAAAAAAAGCGCGGCCAGTTCCCGATGTCCATGTAGTTCTGAGTTTTTGGACGTGATTTTGATGGTATTTTTTTGTTAGCTCAAGCTGAGCTGATACAGTAAAAAACTGATCAGTGGAGACCCGTAGCCATCGCTGCCATGTGGCGACTGGTGTCTTTTGCATTGCTGATGCCTGCAGCTGCCCTGAAGTTTCCCACCTCCTGGGGCCCACCGCCAGAGATTATGACCATGGACTATGTGCCATTGGCCGGTGGCTACGGCCATGGCTCAAGCTCCTTGTCCACCTGGATCTACAAACATATCCAGGAAGATTTGAAGAAGGGCAAGCCACAGTTCCCTCCTGAATTTGGAGATGTCCCCAAAGCTCAGACGAGGGATCTTCGCCTGCTGCCCTTTGGATATGGTCAGGGTTCAGGCACTTTGGCGCTCTGGCTGCGGAAACGGGCCAAGGAGGTCTACGATGAAAGCCCGGAAGAGTTTGAGGGTTCAGGGATGATGAAGTTTGATCCCTTCAGATCGGATGAATTTCTGTCGTGAGGCTAGCAGCTGCACAGCCATCTGCAGCTGTGGATAGTGCACTCAGTCAGGCAGCAAGTGGGCCTTGAGAGAGGCAGCTTCCATTGGAGCTTCGATCGAAAGGACCAAACGGGAAAGTTGTTGTGAAATGATGGACGTTCGAAATTCAAAAGCAGCAGCCTACTCGAAGATATTTGTTCCCTTCGATCTAGCTTCTCCATCCAAGTCTCTGCTGGACACTTGTGCTCAAGGATACTTCTGTAGTGCAGCCATCTCTATGAATGTATTGTGAGTCATTCCAGTGGTTTATCATCGCCATCTCCCCCCTAGTATTCAATTGCCATAACTGGGGACAAATCCATCATTTTCAACACTATCTCTCAGTTTACAGGCTCTACCCCTGATTCTTTTGCGGAGCTGGCTGCAGCCCCCTGTGCTCCAGTTGTACAGACGCATACAGACGCGGACACTTGGAGATGAATGGCACAAAAAGAAGCGCCCGAAACATCAGAATGACAAACATTAAAAATAGCCTCCTAAGTGCCATCTATCAATAGAACAAATGATGTTAAACTGCGTATTGTTTGGGGTTACCGGAAATTTGTTAGAATAAATCCAAGCAGTGACAGAAAACATCAGAAAAACCTGAAGATACTGCAAATTGCGGAGAGTTGCCCATTTTTCTTCGCTGCAACGGCTTTGCGCCTTTTAGGCATTGGCTATCCCATCGAAGACAGGATCAAGCCGGGCTTGGATGGAGCTTTAGGGCGGTGTGCCCGGCAGCCAAGTGACACGCTGGTTTCTGGAATTGGATGAAGGGTACCACATGGTACCTCTGTATTTGATTGTAAAACCAGGTGTCCAGTAGGTTTTCCCTTAAATATCTTAAATCAATTAATCCATTGCAAAATACTGTAGCTGTGATTTGGCAGTTGAGCATGCCATTGGAAACGCTGCAAAAGTACCCCATACCGCCGGCAATGTCAATCCAAATGAAGTTGGAATGGTTCAAACACAATTCTTCTAAAAATTTGCGATTTTCAGGGTTGTCCTGTTACTTGCAAGTTATGTCAGCACCTTGATTTGGGTTTGTTAATTGGGGATGCCCCAATGTTTTTTGCAAATAGATCATAGAAAAACTTCTGATTGACCAGTGGATCGAATTTATTCCCATCTTTTTCCAGACAACCCCATGGTTTTTAAGGTTTGCTGATTCATACCCATGAAATCAATAGTAATAGTCATTAAATCATCATGAAATATACATTAAATGATCATGAAATCCCGTGAAATCCCCCAATTTCCCAAGTTGCACATCTTAGGTGCAGCTTTTAGATCCCACAGCATCTTGGCCTCCGGGACTTCCCGAGGTGGCCCCAGGGCCGCAGGGGTCGGGGATAGTAATGTCTATGGGAAAAAATAATGGAATCTATGGGATGATCGACATGGATCAACCATGATACCCTCTGGTAAACATACAAAAAGCATCAAAAAGCTATTGAAAATTGCCATTGAAATAGTGAGTTGTCCCATTAAACATGGTAAATTTCAATAATTTTCAATAGTTATGTGAACGTTTACCAGAGGCTACTGATGAGAATCTGATACTCTTTGATTTTTATCAAAGCCACGTGATTTTTATCGCAGGAGCTCGGCTCCCTGGGCATCCGCTGTGTGAATGCCATCGACGAGACAAAGCGACCTCGCTTTGTGGAGGTTCTGTGGATGGGGTCACTTTTGAGTGGCATAAATAGGGTATGATAGGTCAATAGATGATGATAGATGATGATAGATGTTGATATATGTTGATAGATGTTGATAGATGTTGATGTTGATAGATGTTGATAGTAGTTTCCAATATGTTGCTTATTCTAAGAATTGATGGGGAAAACAGACCATGAAATAGAATGAGAATATCATGGGATATGATGGGATTTTAGTCTCATTGGTAATCTCATCAAGAACAAATGATAAGAAATATAATGAGATTCAATGGGATATATTTCCGACACTATGATGTTTGGATTTGTCCAACGAAAATGGAAGTCAGCCTTTGGAAATCTAACTTCGCAATGGACTGTCCCCAGTAGTTTAGATGTTTGCTTTGTTGAGAAATCGGGATTTACCATAGGTAGGCTGGAGTACTGATATTGAGCTGGTGATTTCTGTGTGGAACATTCAAGTAGTCTGCTTGGAACCCTTTAAAAGGGACCTCTGTTGTGGATGGATAAATCCAGGATGTTCATAGACTTTGGGTCAGGACTTCCCCAACGATCACTGGAGTCCCACAAGTGTATCTCTTGGAAGTTCCACAGGTGGTTCGTGCGCTGCGAGCCATGCAAGACAAGTACCCAACTCCATCTGGAGGCGATCCGACCCATGTTGACGTAAAATTTTTGCTGCTCAGACTTGGAGCAGTTGGATTTGATATGATCTGATGTAGATTTCACTCACCCCAACCTTAAAGATGTTCTCATTTCCACCTCCAAGCCATGGATGGCCAAGCCCAGGTCCCGTTGTGATGCCCGGCTACGGTGGCTACGCCGCGATCCCCGAGGGGGACCCGCAGGGCTCGGGTCTGTCGGGCCTGCCATCCGTGCCGTACATGTTGGAGCTGATCCGCGCGGATGACATTGAGGTGGGTTGGCCAAGGGCCAAGCCAAGGCCATGATTTTTGGGAGTTGATAATAGTTGATATATGGAGGTTTTCAATATTTTTCCATGGTTTCCATATAGGGATCCCCAAAAATGGCTGGAAAAGTCCAGTCCCGAAAATGGATAACTAGGGGTACCCCCAGGAAACCTCCATATGGGAGTTTTATCCCATCCATCCCCCAAGGAGAACGAAGCCTCAGGTGGAACGACTTCCTCCACACAAACGTCGACTACATCTCTTCCCAAGCCTGGATAAGGCCTCTGGGAGATATACAGCGCACGGAGCTCAGAGGTTTATTTTCAAAAGAACAAGTTTAATGGATGGGACATGATGGGATATTTGGTTTTCAAGGAGTTGATGAGACAGGTTGATGCTTTCCCGCCGGAGCCTTTCCATTTTGGTTTCCCAAAAAAATGCAACTTTCTGAGGCCTGTGGGACGACAGCATCAGCCCGACCTCTTTGAAAGTTGGTTATCCAATGAAGAGCTTCGCAGCTGCATTTCCCGCCTGGCCTTTGAGGCCGTGGAAAGCCCATCAGATGATGGGCGCCGTTTTTTGGGGTTAAGTATAGTATAGTACTGGTATGATGAAGTTGGTTTATGATTGGTAGAGAATCCTATATACTTGACGGAAAAAAAAAAAAGCACATTTCTGGGTGGCAACTGGTGGTGCCTTAAGTGAGATGCCAAAAAATTCCTCGACAGGTGAGCTGGATCCCTTCCGGAGATGCAAAGATCACGGCGAGAGGCGCCAGGGTGGTCAATCGGCATGGTGGTCAATCGGCAGATCATACCAGTGTTTCCATTTTTTTTGGGGGGGGTAGGTTCCAGAAATGCTGAACCTGCAAATCATCCAAAGTTGGGAATTTTTGTGCGGGCACCAATGGTTTCAGACACCAAGCTGCCTTTTTGTTGGGGCGGGAGGCAACAATCCTGTGACCTTGAACGACCAGATCCTGACTCGAAATCAGCCGATGTCTCTGAGTATTGGATCTGAGGTCGGGAAGTTGTTCACGCTGATAGCTGGATGATGTGAAGAGGCAAATTTATATTGGATAATATTGGATACACCATGATACACCCGTCAACACTTAAATTTATCAAAGTGACGGAAGCTTCAAGATCAATGAAACAGTCCCAAAGCTGAAAAGATATGTGGAGGTTACCTGGAGGTTCATGCTTTTCAAACACGGTTCCTGGATGTTCCTGGCTTCCATGAAATTCCGGGGCCGTTGCAGATTGGTTTCCCCTATTCTCAGACCGGTGAGCTTGGAGCCTCAAAGTTGGGCACTGGTGGGATGGGGATGACAGCAGACTCTGGTTTTGATATAATCTGAGGTTCTTCTTCGAAAGATCATCAAGCAAAACATCATATATATATATATTATATAGGGCCCCTCTTTTTTTTAACCTTGCGTCTCTTTTTTTTAACCTTACCTCTTTTTTTTAACCTTGGAAAACTCTTTTTTCTAACCTTGCCTCGCTACCTCTCTTTTCTGACCTTGCCACCTCTTTTTTCTGACCTTGCCACCTCTTTTTTCTAACCTTGCAGCTCTTTTTTCAAACCTTGCACCTCTTTTTTCTGACCTTGCCACCTCTTTTTTCTAACCTTGCACCTCTTTTTTCTAGCCTTGCACCTCTTTTTTCAAACCTAGTTTGCAATTTTGCCCAGCAGTCCCAGCTCCAGGGATTGAGCCCAGAGCAAGGTTAAAGTGCGGCTGGCTGGGAGATTGTGGAAGGTTCTAGACGGTTCCGGGAGATTTGGGAGATTCTGTGCCTATTTGTCCTATCTGCTCTATCTATCCTAGGTTTCCTGTTTGTCCGATCTGTCGTGTTTGTCTTATCTGTCCAATTATTCTCACCTATC